CTGAAGGATCCCACTTGTGGGATTTTACTGGGCATGTTGTTGTTGTAAGTCTTTGTAGTAATCAATTCTTTATAGTGGATACTAGGATGTGTTTAACACGTCTAATCGTTTTTTCCAGCTTGAGCACTTTTATCTAAAAGTATAACTGCTTATTTATAAAGTCAGCTCCAAACTTGAAAATTGCTTTTCAACAGTTGCTGCTTAAAAGCTACTTAAATTCAGCTAATCCAAACGGGCTCTAATTTTGCATTCTTTATTTGTATCTTAGTGATAAACGGTGTCTGATTGTTTTACTTGTAGATTCTGAAGGGAACAACGGAAAAATAAGAACACCCAAGATTTGGCCAAATATGGACATGAAGGAACAAAGGATGGATTTTAAGTCTATAATGAAGGAGGCTGAATTTCTGGGTAAGTAGTAGTTTTTTTTTTGTCTTCTCTTGATTAAGGGTACTATTTTTGTACTCCAACTTGATCGAAATCTTAATTCATGTGTAGTTTTGGTTCAGTAGAGCATGTTTCATGTTATTTGGGTTTTGAATAAAGAAAAAAGAAAAGAACCCTCTGTCTAAGGAGTAGGGCTGTGCAAAATTTATGTCATTAATTTTGTGTCAATGATTTGTTATGTAAGCCATATTGTTCATGAACCAATTAGGATTTTGTTCTTATGACAGTGCAATAATCTAGCATTATTGATTCAATCATCATTCGAAGCAGTTAACCAAGAATTTGAGACCTTCATGATAGTGGTGGCTTGTACTCTCACTACATCTCTAGAACAAAAAACAGAACAAACATCTCCAGAAAAAAGTTACCTGTTTGACAATGGATTGCTTTTTGTTTTCAATTAACTTACTGATAGAGACTTTCCAAATTTTGTGCATTAGCTTATTTCACTAATTTCAAACTTCGAGGACAGGCATAGTCGGAAACTTATAAGAGGATATCCTTCTCTTTTGATTAGTGAAGTGACATCCTATTGATACTATGAAGTTATAAACTGGCTAACAAAGTTTCTGTGATTGTTCAATTAAAGCATTTGATTGGTTCGCTATACGCTCTTGTTCATATTGAAACTTTAGATTCAACTAAGTTTTATGCATGTATGACAATGTCCTGCATGAATTGTTACGCTAATGTGGTTCAGTTTACATGACAATGTCCTGCATGAATTGTTAGGCTAATGTGGTTCAGTTTACAAGTCTTTGTGATACACTGGGCATGAGATTGTGGAGGAACTGAATGGTAGAAAGTGTTTGCGAACGTCAAGATTTCTGAAATGTGCTTGAAATCTGAAACTAGTGAATGCTAGCAAACTTGAGGAGGATTTTAGTGCAGAGGAACACTTCAATTCGGGATTTAAGCTGAGGACAAGACTGGTTCATAGCTTTTCCTTTTCTCCATAACAACAATATCCTTAAATGTTGACATGAATGAGTTTAATTAGTACAAACATCTCAAAATCCATCTCTAGGACTGAAGCAGCGCTCGGTGATTAAATGCTTTTTACTTGCTGTTACCATTTAAAAAAAAGAAAGAAGAGAAATGCCTTTACTTAATCTGGTAAGCCATATGAAGGGAACTTTACATTCCTTTACCCTAGATAATGGTAGCTACTTTATCATGGATAGAGTGTCGTCCACTTTTTCTTGTAGAGGTAGTGCTGAAGACCATTTTCTTCATCCCAAATCATGTTCATTTGGAAGTGGAAAATTGAATGCATGACAAAAGCATAAAAGGAAAATACTGGTGCTAACCAGTTAGGGAATCAAAAATTATATGGGCCATCAGTCAATATTGATCAATCATTACAAGAAATAGGCCAAAATAGATACTCAACCCTGATTTATGTGAGTCAGTTGTCCTTGCCTAAGTGTAGCCAACAATGGACTCTTTGGTTGATGATCCCATGAAGCTGGGATCTCAGGGCACCAAAACTGTCTACCTGAAACTGTAAAGTGAAAGAGATTTTTCAACAGGTAAAGTGAAAGTTGGCACATTAATTAGGCTGACCAGCTATTTTGTTTGCCTGTTGGTGACTGGGTTAGGCTTCATCCGTGCACTTGATGTTGGGTGGTGGTAGGTCATTATGATGTAGGCTCATGTTTATAAAGGTGAGGTAGAAGCAGGCGATGGCTGCTCCTATCATAAGTGGCCAATAGATGACAAGATAGTGGTTCTCAGTTCTTTATCAGAGAAATATAATGGTTCTGAGCTATCTACTGATTTTTATACCATCTTTCTTGATTTCATATTGGGGTTCTTTAGTAATCGTAGAGAAATTGTTATCACCGCTAAAAAAAAAAAAAAAAAGAGGGGTGGTTTGTAAGATGGATTTGGAAAGGGCTTATGACCATGTTAATTGGTCTTGTCTTTTGAATGTGCTACAGTTGATGAATTTTGGATGGAAATGGATAAGGTGGATCAATACCTGTATTTCTACTGCTAGGTTTTTCATTCTAATCAATGTCAGTCCAAAAGGCTTCTTCAATTCCCAAAGGGGCCATAGGCAGGGAGATCCTCTTTCTCCATATTCGGTTATCATTGTTATGGAAATATTAAGCTTGATATTCAAAAGAGCTGAAAGTTTGGGATGGATTAAAGGCTTTAAAATTGAAGTAGCTTGCTTTGGCTGGGATGTATTAGTTATGCGGGTTTCTAAGTTGCAAACTAAACATCGTATTAATTTTATACATGAATAATTTACCTCCCAAGTATTTATAACTTATACAGAAATCAGTACATGGATAAGTTACCTCTTTACTAGCTACCAAACAACCCCCTTACGGTATATCTTTCTTAACATGTGTGGTATGCCTTTGATCACACAATGAAAGTAATGCATAATAAACATCTCGTACACAACAACTAATAGTATAAAAATTTTCCTTCAAAGACAAAGCAACTGAAATTATACGCATTTTTCGTTGTGAAGAATGATATCCACAGTCTTGCATGAAAAAGGTAGCCCGTGCAACTTATTTAGGAAAAGGTTCCAGTGCACACAGTATTGAAGTTGGTAACTTTCATTTTTGTGTCACTCTTCCTTGGTTTATATCATCCCGAAGGCATTCAAGTGCATATCATTCAAAATTACTTTCCGCTGCCAACACATTTTCTTTTTCTTGCGACTTTGGCAGCTTCCCTATCCAGGTGTCTGTCTTAGCCACCTTATCCTAATTAACTTCAACAGGTTCATCGCATTTAGATTTCCGGTTGCACTAGGTGTACTTGACAAGTCTCGTATAGCAGTTTTTCCTATCAAAGAGCTTTCTTAGCATAACTAAAATCGAAACTTGGCTGTTTGATTTTCCCCCTAATTATTCTGTTTTGACTTTTATGCTAGTCCTATCCGGGTTTAACAGTGTGCTGATGGGAGGAGCTTATGTAGAATACGGCACTGACTAGGTTCTCTGTCCTATTTTCAGGCTCTGCGCATATGACATGGAAGGAAAAAAAGGAGCTGGAGAACAGGAAAGTAGTTGCGCTTGGTGGGAAGGTGAGGCACAACCTTTAATTTATGAATAATAACGTTGGCTGTTGTAGTATGTTCTGCAATTTTTTTGACAAATACTAAAATATTTTCTGCATCTGTTGATAATGTTTCTGTTAAATGGCAGCCTCAGAAGAAACAGAGATTACCACTTAGTGTAGCACGTGTAATGATGAAGAAACAGAAGGAAAGGGAGGGGAAAATGCAAGAAGAGGTTGAAATCTCAGCTTTCTTTGGAGTTGCTTACTGAAAATTCCACTTTAACATAAGTTGCTAACTTATTTGGTTTTTGCAGAATTTGGTACTTGGACGATTCGGGGGAGCTAGTAGTTCAAGAAAAGCAGCAGGAAGGCGCAGACCAGAGGATAGGGTGCTGAAATCAACTGAAGGTAACTTCAGAAACGGTGTGCTTGATGTTAAACAGTTACTAAAACCTTCTGCGCCTAAAGCATCATTTGATGATGGGAAGAAGTCTTTTTCTTCGGGTAAAGGGAAGAAGAAGAAAAAGGGCGGTAAAAAGAACAAGGGCAAGAAGAACAAAGGTGGTGGTCCTGGTAAGAAGCGCCATTAAACGTGGACATACATTGAAACAGTGATTAACCCAGCGTCTGGGATCCCAACTTGCGTTATAGAACAAGTAGTTTCATATTTTGGTCGTTGGTATCTTAAAAAAGGATGAAACTAAGGATATTATGTAGCTATCATGCACCAAGGAGGCCAGCTTTCGTAAAATTCTAGTGGATTGTGACGAGTATAGTATAGTTTCTAATGTTGAAAGGATGTACTATTTATTTATGTTGAGAGAGAAAATGAAACAGAATCTGCCATTGATTTCAAGTTAAATACTTTATCTAAATACAATAGTAAGTTTCAAATACTTTATTCCAACTTAATTTCAAATGTCAGTATTTTTTTTTCAAATACCAAAATTTTAGTGTCCAACCTATTCAGTTTATATATATTTACTCTAAAAAACTTGGTAATCCCACAATTCTATAGCAGGAGCTTTGGCTGATAATTATCATCAGTTCTCCTTACTTCTATACCTTAAATCACGTTGAACATAATTAAGTTGAGGACAAGGAGCTTTTTAGATGAGATTGTTCATGCAATTCATCAGAGTAGAATAATCAAAAATTTAGGATTCGAGTTTTGTCATTATTTATTAAATGAAAATAAAAGATAGAGTAAACTCATATCAAAGCTTTTGCTAAAGGAAATAGTGATTCCTAACTTGAGATTCAAACTTCAAAAATTGTTTTATTTTTTTGATAATTTTCTCGAAAGATCATTGGACATAATAAAATAAAATAAAAGATATTGTACTCCCTCTATTTTCCAATTTATGTAACATCAATAATATTTTTTGAAAGTTAATAATTTAATTTTTAATTATAATTTATGAGCATGAAATTTAAAATGTAACAAAAAATCGTGATAAAAAAGTTTCTTTGAATCTCGAAATTCAATAATAATAAGTAAAAATCAATTGATCCCTTTGAAATCTAGTTAAATGGAGTACTATTAATTTTAGTTAAAAGAATTATCCTGTTCCACAATGGCGAGGGTTGTTCGGAATCTTCTCTTCCGCTCATCCGCCGTTCCGCCACCGTTCAAATTCCACGACCTCCGTCTTCCCGGCAGCTTTAGTTTCTCCACTTCTGCTTCAATTCGCAGTAAAGCTCGCAAAAACAAAGGCAAAAACTTGGAGAAGAGCAGCAATATTAGTGTAATTAACCAAAGCAAGCTTTCACAAGTGAAGCGACGGACTCGGTCGGAGAAAGAGCTGGATGAGGAGGCGTTCCTGAAGAACTATGGAAATGAAAATTCTGCCCATGTCCCTGTCTTGCTCGGCGAAGTTTTGGATGTATTCACCTCCGTTACTCTCCGCTCTTTCCTTGATTGTACTCTCGGTGCCGCCGGCCATTCCTCTGCGGTTAGTGTTTCCCTTGCTTTTACAGTTGTACCTCTTTCCTTCTACAATTATTGTCCTTTTTGAAGTATCTGGATAGGTGATTAGACGAGACATAAAAGTTGTTTCAACTTACTGAGTTCATGGCCTTAGATGGTAAATTGAAGAGGACACGGATTAGAGTCGTATGTTAGCAGGTAGTAGAACATTGTCTAGCTAATCTTTCCATACAATTAGTCGAAATATTTACTCTTGTAGTTTATTGTACTTTTTTGTTGTTAGTATCCATTGTTTGTCGTACTTTGATTATCACTTACCAAGTTCATGGCCTTAGATAGTAAATTGAGGAGGATTTGGATTAGGATAGTATGCTAGCAGGTAGTAGAACATTGTCTAGCTAATCCTTGATACCATTGGTCGAAATATTTACTCTTGTAGTCTCTTGTACTTAGTTTTTTGTTAGTATCCATTGTTTCTTGTATTTCAATTATCATATTATTTTGTTGTAGTAACTAATTGTTATGCTTTCACATCCGTTACTTCTTTGAGCCGACGGTCTATCAGAAACAACCTATATACTTCTGAGGTAGGGTAAGGTTTGCATGCACACTACCTTCCCCAGACCCCACTAAATTGGGTATGTTGTTGTTGCTTTCTTTTTTTGATAAATGTATTATGTTGTTATTTTGATACGAGAAAAGATCTACTAAGTTGTTAACGTTTTAAGTTCTCCAAATATTAAGCTTTTATATTGAGGAAGTAAAAGAATTAAGTCATATCATGTTAAGCCTAGTTAAATTCATGTTATTTCATGGAATATAACTTTGTAATGAAGTTATTGTCTAATGTATACTTAGTTGCATTAGGTTACTTGCATAATTTATTTTGAGGTAGTGATATGGGATCATTTGTCTTCCATGTTGAAAATTTTAAAAGTTGTTTGCTTGTACATACAGATAATTCGAGCTCATCCCGAAATGCAAGTATATGTTGGGCTTGATGTTGATCCCATTGCGCATGAAAAGGCACAATCTCAGCTGAAGAGTATTATAGATAGGGACTCTTTTGATACGGCTTCTGCCTTGAAAGTGCATACCTTTTTGAAAAATTTTAAGGACGTCAAGTCTGTGCTTGGTGAAGTTGCAGATGACTTATTGACTGGTGGAGTTAATGGGATCTTGATGGACTTGGGTATGTCATCTATGCAGGTCTGTACTCTAATCGCATCTAAGAAACTACTGTAAAACTTCAAATTGTTTGCTCGATAATCTGGTTTCTGTGGCCTTACCTTTCTTTCTTTCCCGTGTGTGTGACTACTGTGTGAGTTGGCTGTATATGAGAAGAAAAGCTAGTCACTGTGTCACACTGAGTTCTTTAAAACCATAAAAGACTATTTTCCCCTGGCTAAAATTGATGCATTTGATAACTGACTTCTACTCTCACGCGTTAACCATCTATTGGAGAAATATTTAGAGACTACCAGGATACAGATTTCTGAGATAATATCAATGTCTTGAATTTTTTCCATATTTTATTCAGGTAAATGATGCTGGAAGAGGTTTTAGCGTGCTGAAGAATGGACCTCTTGACATGAGAATGAATCCAAAGGTAATTTTTTTCCAGATCATGTTTAAATTTCGATAGTCATTCTGATTTGTCTATCTCTCAAATGCTACTAGTATCTTATGCTACATTGCACATTGGCTTATGTTTCTAAGAGTTCCAGTATCCACCCTTTGGTAAATTATGTTGATTTTGTGATTTTATTCCTTTGCTTTAATGCTAAAACTCTACGAGATTCATGGTTACTAGTTGGTACTATGTTGATTTTGGGATTGTATTCCTCTGGTTTGATGGGTGGTCAATTTCTACATCAAACATACTTAAAAAAGTCACCTTTTTTTGTATATGTCATCCATCCTTCTAATTTTAACCGATGAATATATCATTTTGTAGTTGGTCTACAAATATATGATGCATTGTACATTTGTGAAACTTGTGGGTAATAATCATTAAGGTGGGTTCTAGGTCTTTAGACAACTTTAAAAGCAGTTCAACAAAGAAAAGGTAGCTTGGATATCATTTTAGTAGCAGATATACTGTACTGAACAACAGGAAGTGGGGAGTACTCAATGGTAAAATTGTCAGCTAATGATTAAGGGGAGATTACTGGTTTTCTGGAACTGAATTATAAAATGAATGGGGTGAATGAAATAATTCTTTTGCACAAAAAATAATTTGTGGCAAGGATTAAAAGGTAGTCCGGAGCCTAAAGGACAACTCTTTTTTTTCTTCAAAATTCCAAAGAGGTAACTAAAAATACAAATGAACCAAAATGGCAAAGGCGAGTACTGCCCCACGCCTTACTACAAACGTTAACAGGGCCATTAATTGTCATTGCTAAGGTGTGAAGGGCATCACACCGTGTAAAGGTGGTACCAGCTCCACGCCTTAGCTGGCACTGATTTTTTTTCTTCTTATAAGGCGTGAATGTGTATTGCATCAATTCATTTTGATCTAAGGTGTGTACGGCACCACGCTTTATAAGAAGAAAAAATCTGCACATCTGTTGATTTCACATTGACATGACAAGACAAGGAAATTTATTCCCTTTCATAATTTAAGTCGTGCAACTTCCCACGACTTGGTTGTCTTCTTCACCGAAATTTTATAACATTTCAATTGCACGGCGTTTTGGATGACATAGGTGTCTATCTCCAAATTATGTGCTTTTGCAACATGGTAGTTCCATTCTCTGAGAACGGGTATATTTGTCGATATAGGGATCTGCCAGATTGAGTGAGTTCTCAAATTTGCGTTCCAATAACCACATTCTTCCCATTGATTAAAAAAACGTCACCTGGCTGATATGTAATCGGACCTCTTTTCCAGAAAAATGGATTCCAAGATGACATTTTAAGACTTATTTTCTAAATGTAGGGATATGTTTGAATACAACTAGTCACTGCACACACTAACTATTTATAAGGAAGCTTTACAGCAATTATCATTTATCACGATCGCATCCTATTAAGTTTTCATTGTTGATGTCACTATTTGTCTAACATCAAGACATCTGATTCAGTAAACGCTTCTCATTCTATATTTTCCTATATATCTTTCATAGATGTGGAGAAAATGTTCATAGAGGTTTCCTTGATTAACTGACACAGGACTGTGACAGGCAACTCTAAAAGCTGAAGACATATTGAATTCTTGGCCAACTGATGAAGTAGGGCGAGTTCTACGAGAATATGGAGAAGAAAGCAATTGGTACTCTCTTCAAAACAGAATTGTTAAGGCTCGTCTACATGGAGGGTTACATTCTACCAATGATCTGGTAGACCTTATTCAGAATTCAACTTCTAGGACGAAAGGTGATTTTCAGTTCTAGGTGGCTTTGTCGCTATTCATATTTTAAATTTGTCTAAAGTTTTATGAATTTCTCAACCATTACTAGCTGGAATTGGTGTAGTAGGTACTTTTTCATACTTAATAATCTTCTGCACATTCTTGTCTGTGGAAATGAGAAATGTGATTATACTTTGGACACTTGCTTAAGCAGGGAGGCAAGGTTGGATTAAGACGGCTACAAGAGTTTTTCAGGCTTTGCGGATAGCTGTTAATGATGAACTCAAAACTTTGGAGGATTCCATCCGTGCTTGTTTTGAGTCTCTCAGTTCTGGTGGAAGGCTTGCCGTAATTTCATTCCACAGTTTGGAGGACAGAATAGTAAAGCAGACATTTCTCGATATTATGAACTGCAGTGAAGTTGATGGAGGTGTGGTTGAAGATGAAGAAGGGAAGCGCTTACGTGAGTTGAGGAAAATTAATCTTGAGACTGTTAAAGAAGAAGCATGGATTAAACAGGTGATACAAGGACAAAATGGAACTATCCTTACAAAAAGACCCATAACACCATCTGAAAAGGAGGAAACACTGAATCCTCGAAGTCGGAGTGCTAAACTAAGAGTGATTCAGAAAGCCTGAAGAAAGGTGGACTTCATAGACGTATTGAACCTTAAGGAGATCTTTCACTCTCGAAGATGAGGAGCTTTACCAATTGTTCAACATCTAAAGTTAAGTAATCACAACTTTTTCTTGATCGTCCTTCAGCTTTATTCGTCATGAATAGTTTTCCTCACAAGTAATTAAGCCTTATGAAGCTCTAGCTCCTCTGAACTTGTCATACATTTCAATGATTCACCAATTTGGTACCACATTCCGGTCAGCTTATCATCACATTGTTTGATCAAGGAAATGGTGGTCCTGTATGCTCCATTCCAGAAACACCAATCCATAGGTTACTGGTGATTATCGACGTGCATACTTATTGAGTAGGAAATTTTTGATCGAGGAAAGTTTCTACCCGATGCAAGGAAGGAACTTGACTGTCATTCCAAGCTCTTAAATATGTTTGATTCCGAGTAGTTCAGATTATCCCGAGGGTTTGAACATTTGAAATCAGCGTTGTGGATATGCGATTTTGTAGCATGAGGTTTTGATATATGCTTTACTTGGTTACACTTGAAACAAGTACCTTATTGAGAGCTTTGTATTTTTACAAATTTTCATATTGGCATATGGTTTCATTTCTGTACTACGTTTCTCTAACCTGTGTTTCTTTCAATTGTTGTGTTTAATGTGCTTTACATAATTACATTAAATATGAATTTGTCATTTCATTATTTAAGCTCATATTACATTATTATGTATGTATCTTTTTTTTTCCCCACGATATCATATCATTAGCTACATATGTATTAATTCCAAGCAATTGCGGGCCTTTTTGAGATCACTTCCATTCATTTAAAGAGCAACTTTCACATACATAAAAATCATATTTGTATGTTATAGCTATAGTTTGTATAATTGCGCTCCATAACAAACTTAATGTTTGTTATGGCTATTAATATGTATATTTTGCTATACATATACAAAAGAAAGCAATTGTATAATCTGTTTCGGTGTACACATACAAAAGAATCAATTGTATAATCTATGTTTATATAAAGCGAAAAAGAGAGAAAGACAAAAGAAAACTGGGCAGGGGAAGATCGTATTTGTATAATCATAAGTGTATAGGACGAAATAATATGCATTTGTATTTGTATATACAATTTTCTCTCGCTTTATACAAACATAAACGCAATGTATACACTCGTGTTTGTATAAAGTGAGAGAGGCGAGTGAGAGTGGCGAGCGAGATCTGGGAGAGTGGAGAGAGGGGAACGAGAATATATGTATATATACAATTTTCTCTCGCTTTATACAAACACAAACGCATTTTATACATTTGTGTTTGTATAAAAGCGAGAGAGGCGAGGGAGACTGCCCAGCAAGACCGAGAGTGGAGAGCGAGATTCACTAGGGAGAGAGGCGAAATAGCAACAGTTTGCTATGAGGAACAATTAAATCAAAATATGGTTATAACCTTTAATTTGAATTAATAGTTTGCTATTATATACAATTTTCCCTTCATTTAATTTTAAGTCTACCAGTTCCATTTGAGAAAAGACTCATTTATGCTATTATTTGTTAACTGAAAATAATTTCGATTTTGCAAAATATTTTTTATATGTGGTTAATTATGATTAGGCCACGTCATTAATTAAATTATTATTTTAAAGTAAAATGCTCAAATATGTCATTGAACTTTGAAAAAAGGCTCATCTACGTCATCCATTAAAAGTTTGACTCATCTATACTATTTCAGTTAACACTAATGGCATGGGTAAACTTTTTCTCAAACAAAAATTGCATAGATGAGTCAACGGATGACATAGTGAGCCTGTTCCCTTCTTAAAATTTGAAAATTTAAATACTATTTGGTGTGATGTATAAACGGAGATAATTTTGAAACAATTTTTTAATATACCTTAAAAATGTTAATATGGCAAAAATACTCCCTCAAATCCTTTTATTACATCAGTTTTCACAAATTTTACATTTATGAAAAATATTTTTATAAAACAATTTATTCTTAGAAATTATGCCATCTATATTATTTTAAATTCAATAAACCAAACCTTTCGTCAGAAATAATATCACCATAGTATATATAAAACTCGTTAGAATCAGGTTTCTCTCTCATAAAACTCGTTGGAATCAGGTTTCTCTCTCCTCATTCTTAAGACTCCTTCTTCTTCATAACTTTGTGTAGTCTCTCTTACCAGAATTGGGGGTTTAGAAAAACTCCTTATTCTATATAAAAAAAAAACTTTGCCTATTCTATCGATTCTCATCTTTTGCAATGGTTTACACAATGCTGAGTGTAGACGATTTTTCGAGCATGGAGTGTACGTCTAGCATGACTCGAATGGACTATTTGCTTGCTGTATGTGAAGTGTTTATGTTAAAATCCATGTACGGTGGCTTAATGAATCAACAACATCATCATCATCAAGAAGAAAAACCAATTCTTGATTTCGTCGTCTCAAGGAGGAAACGATCAATGTCAAAAACACGGCCAAGAAAAGTTACTGAAAAATTCATCTGCAATAATAATGGCTGCGAAAAATCAATAATCAAGAAAGCTGTGGAAAACAGAGTGATCCTCGAAAACAGAGAATTGGATATTGAATTCAAGAATCTGATTAAATGCAATGGGGGCTCACTTGAATCAGTTAAATTGGTTATCGAAAAAACACTATTCAAGACTGATGTTAAACCAGAAGAGGGTAGGTTTTCAATTCCGCAAAAACAGATGAGTAATAGCTTTCTTGAACCAGAAGAAGACGCGCATTTGAGCACTCGTAATGAGGGGAAAATGTGTGAGATGAAGGTGATGTTGATTGAGCCTTCGCGTCGAATAAGTGAAATAAATCTGAGAAAATGGTTTATGAACAAAGATAATGGGAAAGTAAGTTTGAGCTATGTGTTGGTGACATACTGGAATGAAGTTGTAAGAAGGAATAATTTGGAATGTGATACTAAGGTGCAATTGTGGGCATTTAGAAAGGGTGTTGATTTGTGTTTTGCATTGGTTAAACTTCAACATTGAACCTAAGTTACATGTTTGAACGTATTTATATTTGTTCATGTTTTTATTTGTTCATGTTTATGGTTATGTTGCTCCAACTCTGTCAATAGATACGTGTTAGATTCTCCAAAAATATAAAAATAGTGTATTTTTGGAGAATCTGACACAAATACGGCAAAGAAAGTGAAGAGTCGCAACTTAAGTATTTGGAATGATATATCACATGAGTCTTCGACTATAACTTAAGTATTTGGAATGCTATATCACATGAGTCTTCGACTATGTTTGCTTTACCTACTTGATTTTTTGTTATAAAACAACCATTTTGTATTTCTCACTCTTAATTTTCTACTAGTAAACATGGCGTCGTATGAAAAAAATTAGATTCATGATTTTTAAAATAATAATTTAGTTTTGATCTTTAAATAAATTAAATATGAAATTCTAACTCGTTTTAACACAGTTTTATAATATACACTTTAAGTAATACAAATAAAATCAATGCTTAATTATGACATGTCATTTTCTGATGCAAATGCAATTGTTAGTGATCTTCTCTTCCCAATTTGCACAGTTTTATATATATCGTCCTCCATAAATGATTAGCAAAGTAAACTTCTCTTCCCAATTTGCAATTCAAATGACAATTGTTTGATTAATTGATTTCATTGCTTTTGCATACCTAATTTATCATAGCATGAATCATTATAATAAATAAATGTTTATAAAGTAATAAGAATAAAACATATTCAAAAATCTTAATGATATAATATTAATTTGATAACGTCTATTTGTCGAAGAACTAATAAGACTTCTTCAATTTATTTTTGAAATGTGCCTCTTAGATTTTTCTTGTTATGGTTAATTAGTAAGGTTGTGAGTACCTCAAATAGGATAAAAATAAAATAAAATAAAAGATAAATAAAAAGGCTAAATGGAAAAAGGCTCAAGTCATTATGTGTAAAACTTTACTTTAGTGTTTTAAAACTTACCACGAAGGATTTGTAACATGAATTTTTAAATTTTTATGTTAAATATAAAAAAAAATCTACAGAAATAAATAATTAAGGAAAGGGCAAAGAATTGAGAAAATAGATGAATATGAAATCATGAATCATGACCTAAGTGATATCTCACCTTACTTCTCTTCTCCTCTCTCTCTCTCTCTTCTTTATATACTAGAAAGTAATGGCCCATGCCAACACGGGCCCAATATTATTATGTAATATTCCTTTTTTTTGTTAAATTTGTTTTTACGTGAAATTGGAGAAAAAATTGATGAATCTATCGGTGTGTTCTGTAAAATGTCAATTTTCTATATTTGATGAGCTAAAATTTTTGCAACATATTTCCTCTAGAAAATAAGTTTTTTTTTCTTTTGAAATGAGGAAATGATTTCTATAATAAATATCATAACTTGATATCAATTAAAAGTTGGATTACAAGTATGTAGCATAAGATAACCTTGCATATTAATCGTTTGTTGATATTTTTAAAGGAACTAAGTTTTACAAGATAGTTATGTACACTTATTTTACGTAATAACAAAATGTGATACATTGTATAGAAAGTTAATTGAGATGCAGATTGAGTTGTTTTGATCTTTGATCAAAAGATTAAGACTTGATACATATGAGAGAAGAAGAAAAAATATTATTCATAAATTACAAGATTGGAAAAATAATCAAATCACAGTTGCAGCCTTTATTGATGAGTTTGGTAGTGTAAATGACCAAAAAACCCTTATTCTTTTATAAAGATGACAAAAATCAGTGATCTTGCTGTCTCTTCTATATAAGAAAGTAAGTAAAAGTAAAGTAAAGTAAAGTATAATAAAAAGAAATAATTTAAATTAATTTGACGTTTTTCTTAATAAATTATTTATTAGGAGTTTATTTAAA